CTGCCGCCGCCCCCCGCCGGGACGTGGAGGCGGGCGGGCGGCAGCAGGAGCGAAGGGAGGGGGAGGGGGCAGGGGGGAGGGGCAAGGAGGTGGGGGGGAGGGGGAGGGAGAACTCCTCTTATTCCTCCTCCTCCTCCTCCTCCTCCTCCTCCTCCTCCTCCTCCTCCTCCTCCTTCTCCTCTTCCTCCTGCTCCTCCTCCTCCTCCTCCTGCTCCTCCTCCTCCTCCTCCTCCTCCTCCTCCTCCTCCTCCTCCTCCTCTTCACTGCTCCTCCTCTTCACTCCTCCTCCTCATCATCCTCCGCTGCCTCTCCCGCCTGGGAGAGGGAGAGGGACAAGGATGGGGGAGGGACAAGGGGGGGGGGGACAAGGAGGGGGCAGGGGGAGGGACAAGGAGCGGGGAGGGACAAGGAGGGGGAGGGGGGGAGAGGGAGAGGGAGAGGGAGATCGCAGCAGTTCGGACACGGGTGTCCGGGCCCTGCGGGCACTAGCGCCGCATGGGCCGCCCTCGTTCTGGCAGGAGGCGCCGCATGTGCATGGCAGGGGTGGCGTCAGCGCGCCCCCAAGCGCGGTCGAAAAGAGGACCCCGAGCAGGCGGGTCGTGGCGACCAGGGCTTGGCACACCCCGCTTGCACACCCGAAACTGCAAAGAGACTCCAGCTTTTAGCATTAGGTCGCATATCCCCCTACAGGGGGGATTTTGGGCGAATAATTAAAAATACCCATGAAAATGCTCAAAAAAGGGGGGGGGGGGGGGGGAAAAAAAACAACAAAAAAACTTGAAAAATAATCCCCCGACGATTTGTTGACTATTTTTGAAGATTCCCCTTGTAGAGGGACCGGCCCGACTTATTCTAGCACGCTTTGGTACGAGCCTCCTCGGAGCCCTGAGACAAGAAGGCGCTGCCTTGGGGCGCCCCCTTCGGCGGCCGAGTGCCTGTTCGGTGGAACATGCTGCTGGGTGTTCATGCAGCGTGCGGCACGGTGGGGCAAAAGCAACTGCAAACGGCCCCGTCCTACGGAGGGTGTGCAAGGCCCCCACCGCGACCCGAGAACCAGCGGCCGCGCAAGCACAGCCGCCCCCGGCTCCGCCCGGCCCCACGTAGGCGACGCTAAGAGGCACCGCAAGCGAGGGGGCCAGGCAGGAGCGAGGGAGGTGCAGGGGCCATGCCACCCGATGGTGCCTACACCCCGCGTGGGGGACCGAATGCGGAAAAGGCGAGAAGGCCTCAGTGCAAGAGGAAGCCGGGCCCCTGGTCGCAGCCTGCACACGGGAGGTGTCCAGGGGCCCTTCACACGACGGTGCAAGCCGCATCCCGCATGGACTGGTTCTGACCATGCGCGGGCAGTGCACCTGGTGGCGCACTTCTGGAGGCTGACGGGAGACGGCAGTGGAAAACGGTGCTCATGGCAGCGGCGCCGAGAAGCCGCACGGCGCATGGGGCACATCCCCCAAGAGGCAGCGAACCGTCGGTCAGTCTACAGGCGGCGTCGGATGCAGGGTCGGACGACGACGTCCCCGTTGTACGTCGGGCCCCAGCGGTGGTTGAAGGCTTCTCACCAAGACAGGCGTCGGTGATGGGCGTCGTCCGCTTCTGTGAGGGCGTGCATGACCATCACGCTTGTGGCGCCGTGGTTGGCGCCGAGGGTGTCGTCAATGCAGAAAGTGAGGGCGCGGAAGCGGCATGCCAGAGTCGGTCGTGCGGTCCGGGGCAAGGCACGCGGCAAGGAACGCAGGGCTCGCGCGCGTAGCTTGAGTCACTGGTCCGCCGCCAACGCGTCGGCCCAGGGCGGGGCCTTCTTCCGCAGCTCCCGGGGCCCGAGGGCGGGCCGGAGGTCGGTATAACCGACGCAGGTTGGCGAGAAGGCACGCGGCGGGCACGCAGAGCGAGATGGCGAGAGGGCCCGGCGAGAGCGGCGGCCGTCGGGGGCCGCGGGGAGCCGCGCGGGGGTTCGGGCACGGCTGTGCGGCGGAGGTCACCGTCGCGGGCGGGACGGCCTGGAGGCCTCCGCCTCTGCCTCCTGTTCCTCCTCCTCCTCCTCCTCCTCCTCCTCCCCCTCCTCCTCCTGCTGCTGCTGTTCCTCCTCCTCCTCCTCCTCCTCCTCCTCCTCCCCCTCCTCCTCCTCCTCCTCCTCCTCCCTCCTCCCTCCTCCTCTTCCTCCTCCTCCTTCTCCTCCTCCTCCTCCCCTCCTCCTCCTCCTCCTCTCCTCCTCCTCCTCCTCCTCCTCGTCCTCTTGCTCCTCCCTCCTCTGCTCCTCCCTCCCCTCCCCTCCTCTCCCCTCCTCTCCTCCTCCCCTCCTCCTCTCCTCCTCCTCCTCCTCCTCCTCCTCCTCCTCCTCCTCCTCCTCCTCCTGCTCCTCCTCCTCCTCCTGCTCCTCCTCCCCCTCCTGCTCCCCCTTAGTTCCTCCGTCTCCCCCGCGTCCCAGGCGGAGGCAGATTGTCGGGACTGCGCCTGGCGACGTGCCACTCCAAGGGGCGGCGGGGGGGCAGCGGGTTGCGAGGCCCGCGGCGGGGTTTGCGGGCCTCGTCGCTGCCATCGCGGGGGAGCGCGCCGCGGGGAGGAGCGAGCGCCAGACAGCGGGCATGACAGTGCAAGCTTGCACGGCCCTGGCGCGCCAGCGCGCGCGCCCTTCGCGTGGGGCCGCGCGCCGACGAGGCACATGCCGTCGCCCCCCTCGCGCGCGCGCGGGCCCTTCGCGCGGGGCCGCGGGCCGCGAGGCACATGCTGTCGCCCCCCTCGCGCGCGCGGGCCCTTCTCGTGGCGCCGCGCGCCGCGAGGCGCAGGAAAGCGGGAGGCGGCCCGCGCGCCCTGCTCGCCGCGGGCCAGGCGCGGGCGCGATATTTGTGCCCGCGCACAACGCAGCACAAGCGAGCGCGCGCGCTTTCGATGGCGTTGGGCGCCCACCACAAATTTCAGCTGCGCCAGAAGCCCCCCGCACCCGAGGGTGCCCGCACCCACTTGACAGGGGGCGCGGCACCCCCCGCGCCGCCCAGCCTGGCGGCGCCAGCCTGAGCCGACGCGCGGGGGCGATGCAAGTACCCCCAGCCGATGCATGCTGGTGCACCGCGCGGCGGCGACGCGCGCTGCACGCGCGCCCCTTGCGGAACGGGCGACGCGCGCGGCGGCGCCGCGGTGTTGTGACACGCAGCGGCGGAGGCGAACGCGCGAGGGCATCGCGCGACGCCTGGGTCGCCATTGCTTAGGCAAGTTCGTCCTCGGACCCAGCCAAGTGCGCCTCGGCCACAGCGCCGAGTTCTAGTTGCGTCATATCGAGATACGACAGGAACGCGGGCGAGGACCATTCGCCCGCTTGAAGGATCTCGCGCAAGGTGCCCCCCCTCTGCAGGAGGCCCAGTGCGCGCCCGCGCCGCAGGTCGCGTGTGCGATAGAGCGCCGCGTCTTTGACGCCGAACTGGCCGACGAGAAAGCGCAGCGTGCTCAGCGAGCTTGCCGCCGATGTCCGCGAACGGCCAGGCGCCCACGGGCAGGCCCGCGAACCGCGCGCCGAGCGCGTGGACCGGGCACGCCCAGGTGCAGCGCACGCACCAGCACGCCCGCTGGAGCACGGACCCGAATTGCTTGTTCTTGCGGCGCGCCAATTTGAGCTGCAGGAAGCCGTCGCACAGAATGAGTGAAGCCCCTGCGCCCTGACGAAAGGCTACGCCGTCGAACGAAATGCCCAGGGCCTCCGAGGGAAGGCGCAAGAGAAACACGTACGTGACAAGAAAGAGCTGCGCGAAGACGGCGGACTCGTGCCGCTCTTTTGCCAGATTTAGCAGCGCGCAAACTGCGTCCTCCCTGATGAATAGGAGGCGCCCTGGGCAGGAAAGCGACGCGCTTGCGAATCGCGCATTTGGCGCGGCGAAGGGGCGTGTCACGAAAAACGTCTACAGGGATACCGCAAACCTGACAAGCCAGCTTGACGTGAGAGACATAATTGGAAAAAGTCTGGTCGGAGCGAAACAGCAGCGACCACGCGAGCACCCCGTCAGCGGACGGCGGCAGCTCGCGCCCGCGCAGCGCAAGAGCCTCGCGCGCGAACGCAGACCATGCTGCCACGCCGCTCTTGAAAGAGGCGATGGAGCGCGGGCATGCGCCCAGGAGGGCCGCTGCGCGCGCCGAAAACAGCCACTCAGCGACGCACACTGGGCCTTCCTCGCTGTCGAGCCGCCGGCGAAGATTGCAGAGCTCCGCACGCGGGCCCCCGCCGCACTGCGGCGCGCGGGCCCCCGGCGCCTCCGCAACCCTTGACTCGAGGAGAGCTTCGACGGCAACGCCCCCGGCAACCTGCGCCCGCGCCGGCGCCGGCCTCTGGACTTGGCCTTCCACCTCCGCGCGCGCGCGGGCGCGATGCAGCTGGTTCGCGGTGCGAAATGCGCAATCCCGAACGCTTGTCGCGAGCGCGATAGCTTCCCGAATGCACCGCTTTTGGCCGCCGTCGAGGTCCGCCCCCAGGAACTGGAAGTCTCTGAATTTGGCCCCAGCGAGCGCGGACGGGCGCGACACGCTTTCGGCAGCGAGCGCCGCCGCGATCGCATCGAACCACGCCGCATCGTGCCTGGCAGGGCCTGCGGCTCTCTCCAGGAAGACTCGCATGGAAGCGGCGTGCCCGGCCATTGCCGTTTCGACGGTCGGCGCGCGCCAAGCAATCCCTCTGCCGCCGAGCCCTGTCTGCCGAGCGCACGTGGAGCGGCTGCGCCACGCGCGACCAACGCGGACGCAACACGAAAACGAATAAAACAGCATTTTGACACGCACGCCGACGCAACAGGATTTGGCGCGCAAGCCGAACTGTCGGCCGACAGTCGCTCACGCGCGGCGCAGCGGCGCCCGCGCAGCCGAAAGAGATGCCCAGGCATCGGGCTTCCAAAATGCCTCGCTAAGACGCGCTGCACGAAAGAAGCGCCGATACGCTGTTCGGCGCAGCAATCGGAAGGAGATCAACAGGCGCGCTAGCTCAAAGTGTCCAGACGCCTCCACGGGGTCTGGTATGTCTATTA